CCCCACCAGGGGCATAGGCAGTGGGAGGTGTCTGCTGAGGACAGGCGTGCTGCCACGTACTCCCGAGCCAGGCCCTCCTTTGCCTGCACTGCTCCTACTGCCCAAGTCCTTCCCAGCTGACCACGCTCTGCGGGGTTCCCCCTCTGGCCTTATTGACTCCTCAGGCTCCTTTCCTGGTGCGCAGGAAGGTGAGGTGGGGACAAGGTGGACGCAGAAAGGAGCACTGCTTTCCTATCCTCAATCCCTGTGGTTTTCAGAGATCAGAGGTGACATCCAGGTAGACCACCACCCTGGAACTTAAAAAAATGTTTCTGGAGTATTTACTACATGCCAGGCCTGCTAAGCTCTGCATATATTATTTCATTTAGCCCTCACAACAGTTCTGTGAGGCAGGGAGCAGTCCTACTTTACAGGTAGCAAAGCCAAAGTTCAGAGCACTCTGAGTGACTTGCCCAGGGTCCCACAGCCAGGCAGGCGGTGGTGCCTGGGGCCAAACAAGGACGGCTGATTGTAGTGCCCAACTGGGTCCTTTTCCAATGACAATCATCAGAGCAGATGCCTACTGCTCCGCACTGGGCCCTGCTCCGTGGCTTTTCTGTGTACTCCTTACTTCACTCTCACAACAGCCTCCTCCAGTGGATACTTTACTGCCCAGGTTAGGGGTGGAAACTGAGGTGCAGGGAAGGTGATCGTCTTTGGAGCTGGATTTGAATCTAGGTAGCTTAGCTCTGAGTCATTTCTGCATCCCTAAGCCCTGGACACCTTTCACTTCCACTAAGTCGGGAGCAATGCAGAGAACAATCCCCAGGTCATGAGGGAAGAACCCGGGGATTGTTCTTGTCCTTCCAAGGATCCCAGGCCAAGGGATGGCAGGCCTCAGCCAGGATCCATCCACTTTCTGTCACCCAGCCCCTCTCATCTGGGAAAATCCCATCCAATAGATGAGCCTCTCCTCCTCAGTCGACTTTCCAGTACTGGATGGTCCTTTTAGGAGAGATATCCTAAATTATCTCTCCTAAGAGAGATTCGGTCTCTGAGTCCAAGTGCAAACCTATAGGAAAGTGGGGCAAAGACACAAGGTGGAAAAGAGGACAGGTGGAAAAACTGCTTAATACCTGCTCTCTGCCACGTCACACGCCCACCCCACCAGCAATTCATGTTCTGAGTACACAGAACATCCCACTGCTTTTGCTGGGACCGTCCCCAGAGCAACCCTCTCCTGACCCTGCTTTAGAAATACCAAACCCCCAGCACTGAGCCTCAGAGAAGCAGAGCGGGAGGAGCTCGACTGTGTAGAAAGCCCCTGGCTTCCATCCCTCCAGGGCCTGCATCCCACATCAAAACCCTGCCTGACCCTGACCCCAGGCCTGACCTTGCCTTAGCAAGAAATGAGAAGATAACATATTTCCTTCCAGTCACTGAAGCCACAACCATTGCCTCTCCTACACATCTGCCTGTCAGCCCACACCACAGGCGGCCCCATCTTGCGACAGCTTCTGTTAAATGGGCATCCCCAGGGCAGTCTCGCCTACGGCAGTCTTGCAGGGTGATGACTGCCAGGTGTCCTGGGCAGAGCCCTGGGAAGGCAAAAATCAAAGTCCCTCATGGCTCAGTTTAACTCCGCATTGACTGGACCCTCCTAAGGGTGGTAAAGCTGTGACTCTGAGAAGGACCGTGGAGTGGACAAGAAGTCTGACCACTAATGTCTTTTCTAGCTCTGAGAGCATGCAACTCCAAGACTGGAATTCCCATCATGAGAAGCACTATTTTTTTTTTTTTCTTTTTAAGAGACAAGGTCTCCTCTGTTACCCAAGCTAGAGTGCAGTTGCACAATCACAGCTCACTGCAGCCTCTAATTCCTAAGCTCAAGCAATCTTCCACCTCAGACTCTCCAGTAGCTGGGGTGACAGGTGTAAGCCACGCCAGGCAAGAAGGCCTTAAATGAGATGAAGCTTTCTCCCTAATCCCTCACTAGCCAGATGAACCCCAACATTCATGCCTCAGTGAGTGA